GAGAGAGAGAGAGGAAGGGGGGGGAGGGCGACCGTCGTCGTCGGCGGTGCACCTGTGGCGATCGTGCCGGCGGCGACGGCGGCGCTCGAGGCTGGCGAAATCGCCGATTGTCTGTAAGAGGGGCGACGCGGCGAGGACGGCCATGTCCCCAGTTTGTGCGACGGGCCGAGGAGCGGGCTGGCAAGAGTAAAAGGGGCAAGGCGAGGGTAACGGTATGGCAAGGAATTACGCAGGTCCGGGGGAAACAGAAGGCGAAGAAGAGGGCGGCAGGTATCTTGACTTGAAACGAGAGTGTGCGTGCAGGCGAATGTGCAAGAGTGAGAAAACCAGGGGGGGGGGGGGGCTGGTCCCTCCGTCCGAGGCTGTATTTTTGCGTGGGCAACGGGGGTTCCGTGACTGTATAAAGCGTTGGGTGCGAGGAGGAGGCGGAGTGGTAGAGGCGGCGGTCGCTGGGCGTGGGTCGATGGCGACGAACTGCGGTGGTCGTCGCGTCAATATCGCCAGAGCTCCCAGAATGGCAGTCGCGGCAGCCGATTTTGCCCAGTCGTGTCGGGCCAAAGAATGTCCGTGGGGTCTCGTTGGTAGGTGTCGAGGCGCAGCGCAGGGAAGAGGTGTGCATGGACCGAGGCGCATGGTCGTGAGGATGCAGGAGCTCAGGCGGGCGGGTCAGTCGCAGAGCGGAACGACGCGAGGACGTAGCGCAGGGTCCTAGCTCCGATCGCGGGGGCCGAGCAGGGGCGAAGGCGAGTCGGATCGATGTTGACCGTCGCTGCCGTTGTTCGAGGAGCGGTCCAGGGTGTGGTAAGAGGTGCCGCGCATCATGCCCTCGGCCTCGGTCCCGGCCTCGTTGCCCGCCTGACCGTCGGCGGCCGATGCGGGTGCGGGGTTGGCAAAGATCTGGCGCTCCTCTTCGTTGAGCTTCCGCAGGTACTCGCGCTTGACCTTGCGGGCGTCAATGTAGCCGGTCGACGAGACGTCCCACGATGTCGTCCCCACCTGGAGCCCACTGTTGGTGCCGGTGCCGGCGGCGCGGCCTCGCGCGTCGTCTCGCCACCTCGGCGCCAGCCCGGCGGCAGCGCGTTCCGGATCGTTGTCGTCGTCGCCGATGAGCTCGTCGTCAAAGACGCCGTGCATCTGCTTGAGCTGGCGCGCCTTTGCACGCTGCGCCGGCGAGAGGACGCCGTTGGCGCTCTCGTCGTCGTCGTCGTCCTTGGTCAGGACCGTCATGGGCATCAGCAGGCCGTCGCCGCGGCTGCTGAGGCGCCTCAGGACGCCGTTGCCCGTCTCCTGGCGCGCCAGATCGCCCTTTTCGCCGGACGACGCGAGCATGGCAGCCCTGCGCGCGGCAATCAGGCGCCGCCGCTTGCGCAGCCTCCACAGCGCCACGCCAAAGATGGCGGCGATGACGACAATGGCCGCCACGCAGCCGATCATGACGCGGATGCCACCCGAGAGGCCCTTGGATCCCTCGGCCGGATCGTCGGACTCGGAACCGTCGAGCCCAGAGTGGCCGAGCGGCTGCTTCTGGACGCGCACCTGCGTAAACTGGGCGGTGGCCTCGGTCATGTTGACGAGCGGACGCAGGCCGACCTGCGGTTCGCAGGGGCCCGCCGGCCCGTCCGAGGTGTTGGTGCCGTCGCACGAGAGCACCGTGTAGGCGCTGCGCAAAAAGGCCGGCGAGAGGACAAAGTCGGCGGGCAGGCTGACGGCGTCGGCGCTGGAATCGCCGCTGCCGCCCGACGACGAGCGCAGCGCCTGGAACGAGCCGATGCACGCGGCTCGCGGGTTGGAGCTGCCCGTGCCGGTGCCCGTGTTGGCATAGACGCTGGCGTCGAGCGGATGGATCGGGACGCTGACCCCACCGAGCGTGACGGTGATGTTGAGCTGCAGGTCGCACCGCATGTAGTAGCCGCCGTCCGAGGCGGGCCCGATGCCCCAGGCGCCGTAGAGGGCGTTGAGGACGCTGGCCGGGCCGAGGTTGACGCTGGCGCTCGTGTCGAGCACGGCGATCGGGTAGCCCGAGCCGGTGGCCGAAGACGATCCGATGGGGATCACGCTGGTGACGCCGTCGATCGAGACCGTCATCTGGGTCATGTAGAGCCTCCAGTGCCTGCTGATGCCGTCCGGGTCGGGGACGACGGGCGAGTAGGTGATCTTGCTCAGGTCGGTGCCCGAGTAGGCCGGGTCGTGGGTGCCGACGGTGAGGACGCTGCTGCCGGACCCGCCGTCCTCCTCTAGCCGCTGCAGGCCGAGGCCGACAAAGCGCCTGCCCTGCCGCGAGTTCCTCCACAGCCCCGCCAGGATCGATCCGGTGTCTGGGGGCGCCACGCCCTCGTTGAGCGCCGCGGTGTCGCTCGTGTCGTTGAGCGAGGCCTGGATGATGGAGAGCGCGGGCAGGCCCATGCCCAAGACGCCGGAGAAGCCGCCGGTGTCGAGATCCTCGTCGGACACGAGGTTCGCCGACGCGAACGCCTGCGAGTTGACGGCGAGGCGAGAGGTGTCTGGGTCACCGAGCAGGACGCTGGTCGTCTTTACGCCACCGGATGCGCCGCCCTGGAGGTAGTGGATCGAGAAGGTGGTGTTTTGGTCGACCACGGCGTCGTCGGTGTCGTCGAAGCGGTTCACCTTCAAGCCTTGCCGGCCATTGCACGACTCGGTGCCGCAGCGGGTGCTGGCGACCCACATATCGCTGCTGCCGGTGTCGAGCTGGAGATTGAGGTGCTGGCTGGCCAGGCTGACGGGCACCGTGTAGGTCAGCTGGCCGTTGGAGTAGCCTCTGCCGAGGATGACGCGGGTGTCGTTGGTGGACGAGAGCAACGGGCCGCTCGAGCCGCTGTGGCTGCCGAGGCCGGCGCGACCGCTGCCGCTGCCGCTGCCGGTGACCTGGCTGGCGCT